AAGAAGAAGAAGAAGAAGAAGAAGAAGAAGAGGAGGAGGAGGAGGAGGAGGAGGAGGAGGAGGAGGAGGAGGAGGAAGAGGAAGAGGAAGAGGAGGAGAATGAGGGTATTTGAAGTTGTTTTCTGGCGATTGCTTTCGGAGCAATTGTTTCCCCGCCGCTGGCAGTTTTCCTGCTCTGAGTGAGAATTCTGCCTGGGATGCCTTTCAAGGACACTCCTCCCCACCTCAGTTTTTTCTGTCTGGGCATGAAGCCATAGGCCCTCTCTGTTAATGACCTCTGTAATCTCTTTCTTGCTACATTCCTCTCCTTTACCTTCTTTACAACTCAAAGTTCAGATTGCATGACTAAAAGAATGATCCTTGGACAAAAACCAGAATCGAAAGAGGTACGTGATGTTCTAATTTTTTTTTCTCTTTTTCTGTAAGTATAGCTCTAATTCATGCATTACTTCATTGCATTTTTATAGCAAGGATGAAGTTCAGAGTACATTTTACCCTGAATATCAGCCCCACTGGTCTCCCTCTGCAGCCCATAAGGTTCATATCCGGTGTAACACAACACAGTCAGGTAAAGAGCTGAAGAGACAGTATACATTAGGCTGAGTGGCAGTATACAATATGATTTCTCTTAATTTTGGCGGTTTTTCCCTGGCTGAGCATGTAAGGCAGATCCCACGCTTGGCTTACTTCTGATTCAATATATTGCACAAACCTGAAAAATCAAATATCAAGCATGGTTGGTTGTATGAATGCACCCAAATGTTATTAGTCTTGATTTATCCTGCCTCCCTGTGTTTCCCTGAGGGGGACACTTCATTTCCATACACTATCTGACTCTGCTCTGCAGGGTCTTCCTGACAGAACTTATATTCTCAATGTCTTTCCTTCTTTAATGGACTTTTTGAATGGAGCAGAAACATGAAAGAAAGAAAGAAAGAAAGAAAGAGAGAGAGAGAGAGAGAGAGAGAGAGAGAGAGAGAGAGAGAGAGAGAGAGAGAGAGAGAGAGAGAGAGAAAGAAGACAGAGAAAGAAAGAAAGGAAGAAAGAAAGAGAAAGAAAGAAAAAAAGAAAGAAAGAAAGAAAAAAGAAAGAAAGAAAGAAGAAATAAAAAACTCAAAAGAAGCAGGAGATCAACCACATATAAATGGAAGGCAGTGATTTATACATTTTCCCCTTGAACAATCTGAAGATGGTGAACTGTGCTTCACCAGGTGCTTACTTGGTCTTTCAGTCACTTAGATGATGCTTATTAGTATGCCTTGTACCTCTTTCTTCTCTAAGGAGCATGTACTGAAGCACACCAGTGCATGTGCAAGCAAACACAGACATATGCCCTAGGGATTAATCTGAATTTGAATGGAGACAGATTCCACCAAAGTTACAAAGTCGCTGACCCAATGAAAGGACAGGAAATCAAAGTCTTTCCAGGCATGAGCAGCGAACTCAAAAGCTCATCTCGGCACTTTTCACACATCTGGCTCAAATGTTACACTTCCCTCTCCCCTCTCTTCTAAAATCCAGTCATTGTCTTCTTCGCCCCATAAACTTTCTTACCTTCCTTTTGCTCTACTTGTCCAATCTTTAAGAAGAAACTTACCAAAAGATGCGTAGCTTGGCCCAGATGAATGGAAGACAGCAAGATGTGATCCTCAGCGTTGGAAAACCGTGTCCCTGTGCAGCATTCAGAATATCTGGCAGGTTGGGAGAACCATCGCATTCACGTCTTCAGGTGCTGTAACTAATATGATGCAGTCATTCGTTTCCCTCCCTTGGAGTTAAGAGAACTTGTAAACCAGGGAAAAGGCATTTTCAAAGTCTTTACACCCGTCACACCCACGCAACCTCTCGCCAAAGGTGAGTGAACCTTTTCCCCAATCAGAGCTTCTTGGCTGCTTGTCAAAAGGGAGACTCATGATTCTGTCTTGGTCCAGAAAATGCCACACACAGAAAAAGCCATTCCTCTTCTGAAAGTTTTTTCTTTAATTCACACAAATGCCATTATTTCCAGTGACATTGTCCCATGGTCACAAAATGAAAGCATACCACCAGTCCATAGCTAGACACATAATCTCTCCAGTGAGACTTATTTCCACTTCTCTTTTAAGATGCTCCAGAACAAGACACTAGATTTTATTTGACAAAAATCATCTCCATTTCTTTAGACCAGAGGTAGTCAACCTTGGCTCTTTTATGACTCGTGGACTTCAACTCCCAGAATTCCTGAGCCAGCACAGCTGGCTCAGGAATTCTGGGAGTTGAAGTCCACGAGTCATAAAAGAGCCAAGGTTGACTACCCCTGCTTTAGACACATGCTCTCTCTTTCTATCATCTTTCTATCTCTACCTCTATCTCTGCCTACCTTTTTATCGATCCATCCAGTATTTTCCATGGGTGTATGGGTATGTTTGTGTGTCAAATTAATCTGTTTGATGAAAGCAGCACTGTGCCATCACAACAGAATCCCGACTCTTTTTGTACATGTCACCGTGTCCTAGCATGTCCAAAGAATGGAATTGCTTTCATCGTTTTATTTAAAGATGAGTCACCTTGGTGAGATGGGCAGGATAGAAATTTAGTAATAAATAAAATATGAAATAAAGCAATAATCATGTATCTATCTATTGTAAGTCTCTATTGCTAACCCAAATGATGCCAAAATCCTGAAAAGTGCATTGTGAAATCACAGTGCAAGCTTCATTAGTTTGTACTTGCATCGTAAGTGCATAAGGGATAGTTTGCATCATGATGAAGGGGTGATATTTCATCATTTGTCTGCTTCCCAATGAAGTTTTCAGGGTGTGTCCCTCACTCCCATGCCACTCAAAAGCAAAAAATGGATTTTAGCCTTCAAAAAACTGTAATTTTGCATTGCAGTTGCCATCTTAACTTTTTAGACCATTGGCTGCTGGAACTTCAGGCAAGGAGTATGAGTAATTTCATGCCAGTTTCAAGTGGGAAAGATCTGAAGAGAAGCAGAAGGGGATCAAGAGTTGACCACAAGGCTTTCCTTAAAAAAAAACAAAGAAAGGAAGCTGGGCAAAAGAATTCCCCTGCCTTGCTTTTCATGACTTGATTGGACGAGGCACTGTGCAATACAACCCTCAAAGATTATATTATTTTGCCGAATATTATATAGTCTTATTTCTGACTCAAACTGCCAATGGGGTAATTGTGACATCAGCATAGAGATACATATATTCAACAGGCACAATATTCCCCCCCTGATGAGCTTCGTTCTCAGCTCATTTTATCTCCTTCGAGAATACAGGCAGAAGATTATATGCATTTAGATGCATTTCTCCTATTTTTCTCAGATCAGCAATCGGAACCTGCTACGAATTCTGCACTGCATTTCATTATTGCTTGACTAAGCAGCAGGAATCATGCCAAGAACATCTTCGGAGATTTTATTTCTGTCCACTTTTGCCCTTGATATGCCTCAGAAGAAAGTGCAATCTGAATTTAGTATATTTACTTTGGTTTATCAGTCCTTGAAACTGTTCTCTTTGCAGGGTCTTTAACCTAAGCTTTTGGTTACAGAGTAACTAGGCTTGTAATCATATATGCATCACACTCAGTAGCCTGTATGTCTGAGGATAGATGTCTAGGGTCACATCTTTTGACATTAAAAGTTATCTTTAAAAAAAAGAAAAACCTACATTAATTCATTTGTTTCTTTTATTAATTTATAACCTAAGAGACATTGGATTTCTATAATGGAGATAAGCAACAGTTTTGGACTATAGTTTTATAATGCACTCGTAGGTTGCAAGGTAATTTAAAACGATGTCAAAAAGCAGGACCGTTTTTTTTAATGCTTTAAATTACACATAGTTCCCAAAAACCTGCAGCCTGATCATTTTGTTTTATAAAATAATGTAAAAAAGCAGAGATAATAGAATCATACATTTTGCAGTTATTATTCTGGTTCTCAATTCCTTATCTGCACGAAACTTAAAAGCAGGAGTCAGTTTAAAACAGACCTTCAATTTAAATGCAGGCGCACCAAAATTAAACACAGGATAGATTAAATCCTTATAATATCTACCCCTCTTCAAGATTCACCATAATCATCACTGCTACCTATCTAAATCAAAGTAATTTCTTGATGAAGAAACCCTTTCTTAATGAAAAAAATCTAAATGCTGAAAACTATTCCTACAGATTGTTAAGCTTTTAGGAAGAAACAGCAGATATCATGCCCTCTCTCGGCAAGCATTGCCTGTTGAATTTCTGCCTGAAAGGCAATGCAACAGTTGGATACAGCTTTCTCCCTGTTGCAAAGAGGCATTAACACTCCAGCTGGGTTCCCACCATCCTGCTAAACAATGGCAAGTCTTCCGTTTGCAGGCTAAACCCGTTTCCTGCTAACCCTGGTTCGTTTATTTGTGGCTCATTGCATTTATTGGGTGAACAATAGCAACTGGCGCATAATCTTTGTGGGCATCGAGAAAAGAGTCACTACTAGATCAAGCGAGTTGTCTGAACGTGGCTGCTTTGACGCGCAACTGGACAGTCTTCCCTAAGCGAGGCTCCAGAGGTCGCCATGGGTACGGCGAGCCCCCGGTTGCTATGGCTACCCGAGAAGCCCAGGGCGCGAACAATCCCAGAAGCCCTCGCGGCGAGCTCGCCTTGGACTACTACGCTCAGGGATGGAACGTGGGCCGCTCAAACTCTTCTACGTCATCAGGGCGCGACGTCGAACCGATCGCGGAAGCGGCTGCCGGGGCGGCCATGAGCGCGCGGTTCTTGCGAGCCTGGCGGGGCGGGTGGGGCGGGGGCCGCGGGAGGGGCCACGCGACCCCCGCGGGGGAGGCCCCGGGGCGCGAGAAGCCCCCCTGGCGAGTCCTCTTCTTCGGCACCGACCACTTCTCCGCAGAGATCCTCCGAGCGCTCCAGGCCGCCCGGTGGGTCTTCCGGATGGAGGAGCCTTGCCAANTTGAGGGTCACTCCAATCTCGGTGACCCCCCCCACCTCTGCAGCTGTCAGAGGTGTGGACTTCAACTCCCAGAATTCCCCAGCCAGACATGCTGGCTGGGGAATTCTGGGAATTGGAAGTCCACACAGCCCAAAGGTGCTTTTCCAAAAGGCAACTGGACTTTCTTGTTCTGGTTTTTTTTTTTCTAGGGTTGCCAGGTGTCCACTATTTGAGTGGACAGTCCACTTTTTTCACATTATGTTCACTATTTTTTTTCCACAAAATAGTGGACATTTTTTTTATTCAAAAGCTTTACGATGAAATGGTACGTAATCTAAAGCTGTACAGTCTACTTTTTTTTACTACTTAACCCCCCCCCCCCCACCCCCGCTTTTTGGAAGCAGACCTGGCAACCCTATTTTTTTCCCCCTTGAAAACGTCCAGGAAGACTTGAAGTAGCTTCTTGGATGAGAAGCGAAACGTTGTCGAAGAAAAAAAAGAAAAGCGAGAAAGTCCAGCTGCCTTTTGGAAAAGCACCTTTGGGACAAACGTCGCCTGGATGCTTGAGGTAGACAAGAAGTCCACACAACATCTGACAGTTGCTGAGGATGGGAAACAGTGCTGCAAGCAGTTGAGTTGATTCAACGGCGTAAGAGTGCCACAACTGTGCTTGGCTTAATACACCAAAAATCTCCCACTCCCCCTTTATTCTTAAATGAGTTTATGAATGGAGAACAAATGAGATGAATCAATGGGAAGGTCCAGGGATGGGGTGCCACATCTGCAACAGGCGGAAGTCCCTGACCAACCAGCTCCTATCAGCCCAACAGGGTTGAAGTCAGCCAACACATGACTTTAGGCTGAGATGTGAGGAATACTTGCTTTAAATATAGAAATGCCATTAAAACCTAGGTCTGGGTAATGGACAATTTAGGGTTCCCCAGATTTCCAAGTGAATACATAAAGGTTCCTAAGATAAGCACTTTATTGTGATAAAATGCAGTTTCCTGTCTTTCTTTGGGAATCCAGGTATTAAAGTAGCACATTTAATATTTAAGTCTTTTTAAAGGGTGTCCATGTCTTGTTTTTGATCCCTTGCAAAGGCAGAATGCCAAGGCCAGATCACCTTGTGGATCACCTGGAGGTGGTGACCCTGCCACCCAGTCACTCAAAGGTACTTCCTGTGAAGAAGTATGCAGAGCAGTTTCATCTTCCTGTCCACATCTGGCCAGATGTAGGTGCCTGTGAGAATTTTGACGTTGGCGTGGTGGCATCATTTGGACGTCTGCTTAGTGAGGACCTCATCCTAAAGTTCCCCTAGTAAGAATTATCACAAACATCCCCTCCCTACTCATTTTCTTAGCGTATTCCTCACACAACTATTTCTTTTATATTAAAGGAAAGGCTGCCTTCTATAATGTTTGATTATATACAGGGGTGGAAGGGCCAAGTTCCTTATAACAATTCCTGCATAGGTATCTAACTTGTTGTAATGTTTGCAACTTATGTCATCTAGTGGGCAAATTTGCCCATAAATTTACTGATGCTTCTAAAACTAAATTTCCAGTGCAAAGTGTAGGGGGATTGAGGAACCTGTAGCACTGCAAATGTTTCTGAGTTGCAGCTGTCATAAACTATGGCAGAAGAAGCTCAGAATTGCTTTCAGTATTACAGGTTGATACAGTTTCCATGGCCATAGAGTTTTATGGGAGTTATTCAAATCAGGCATCGACCTGACTACTTCTGATCAAGAATGGTAACGATTTCAAGTTCCTACAATTTTTGCCTGGAATTCAGCTAATATATCATTCTCATTTTTCCCTGGCAATGTTTTCTTTTTCACTGTGCTAAAATACTTTGTTTAGTGTTTTTAATAATCTCTTAAGGTTACATTCTTTACTGATTTAGTCATGAACAAGTGCTGATATGCATAATAATCAATGCAGCCGTAAAAACAATATACAGGCACTCCTCATTTAGCAACCACAGTTGGGACCAGCAACTGGGTCTTTATGACAAAGCATTCACTAAGTGAAACCACAACTGTGCTTACAATCTTACTTCAGCTTTCCTTTGCATTGTACACCTGCAAAGGTTGTGATTGCTAGGATTGGTTGCAAAGTTACTTTTTCATCACCTTCATAACTGTGAATATTGTCTAAACAAAGCATTGGCTAAATTAGGACTATCTGTAATTTATTGCAGTTTACCACAAGGTCAAGAAAAACATGCCAGTGCAATAAGCCAGAATTGCAGAGATATCAGTAAAAAAAACACTGTCAAAAATTACTCTTCCCTTCTACACTGCGTTATATATTGTGCTTATTACTTCGTTGAATTTTTAACTAATTGTTTTATCATAAAAACGTCTGGAAGTCACTTTGAAATCCAGCAGTATAAAAATACAATAAATGAAAATGTTACCGAAGTGCAAGTATTGTTCTAATTTCCCAATATTTTGACACAGCGGCATGCTGAATGTCCACCCCAGCTATCTTCCGCGGTGGCGTGGCCCTGCACCAATTGTCCACACCGTGCTTCATGGAGATACAGTAACCGGGGTCACAGTTATGCAGATTAGACCTAAGAGGTACGTTGGCTGTTTCATTCAGCATCCAGTCTGCAAAACACCTGGCTGTGAGAATTATTAAGCAGTGAAACAGCCTGCACTTCTGAAGTTGTGTGTGCTCCATTACTGGAGGTTTTCAAGAAAAGACGGGACATTTTGCCCAAAATGGTTTGAAGATTTCTGCACAAGGCATGAGATTGGACTAGAAGATCTCCAAGGTCTCTTCCAATCCTATGATTCTAAGATCCAAAGCTCATTACTAAAATCCTTTTTTAAATAATTGTATCAATGCTGTTCAGTCTCTCCACTACCTCTTTCTAGGTTTTTTAGATCCCATGTAGAACCTGACAAAAAGCATATCTGCAATATGTTTTATTTCCAGGTTTGATGTGGGTCCAATTATAAAACAAGAAGAATTTGCGGTTCCACCCCGTTGCTCAGCAAAAGAACTGGAGCCATTGTTATCCAAGGAAGGTGCAAACATGGTAAATGAATACCTTTGTTTAATCACCCTTAGCCCGGTGAAAACACTTACGGGAGATACAAATAAATGCCAAAAATGTATTATCAGTTGGAAAGCACCTCTTCTGGGCCCATTGTAATTTTGAATAGTCATTAAGCAACCAGTCTTAAGGATTATCTGAAATAAAATCTGAATTTCTCCCTGAGAACTTAAAAGAAGGTAGAATGCAAAGACTGGTGTTTTTCAAACTTGGCAACTTTAGTGTGTATGGATTGCAGCTCCTAGAATTGCCTAGCCAGGATTGGTGTAAACCATTCTGATAGATTTATAAATGCCTTGCTATACTACAACTGTAATACAATCTGGATAGTTCCTGAAGCTATTTCACTGGTTATAGCCGCCTAAAGTGCAACAAGTCCATAAATTCAATTTCTAGTAGAGGGTTTGAACCTCATAGAATAACATCTGGCTACCTATATCTGACAAATCCTAATAAAGATGAAATGGGTCATGTACTGCCTCTTGGCAACCCCTGTTGATTAGAAGGAGAATCTGTTCTTCATTATACACATTCTGGATTTTTTTTTTTCTCAGCTGATTGCCGTTTTGCAAAACTTACCTGAAAGTTTAACCAAGAAGAAAGAACAACCCAAAGAAGGAGTAACAAACGGTATTTATCGCAAGTTTCATGTGTAGTTTAGATATTAATTAGCTATGATCTGAGCCATTGCTAAGTAAACCGTCGTAATACTTTTTCCATGATTCCCCTGCCTTCCTTTCTCCCTATTAAACTCGAATACTTTGTAATTAAGTTGAAAACTTGGCAGCCAAGGGTTAATTTTGAGAGTGTCAGGGAAGCTGAATGTCCCTTAATTTGAAGAGGGAAGAAGAGGGAACACCTATTACTTTGTCAAGAGAAAGGAATCGCTTCTAAATGTTACTGGGAAAAGAACATTTAAAATGTGTAAAGATGCAGGGCCAAAAGAAGTTGCTTTTCTTTTATTTTCCTCTAAAGCTCCTAAAGTCACTGTTGCAATGAGCTGCATTCAGTGGGAAGGACAGACTGCTGAGCAGATACTAAGGATGCACCGTGCCTTAGGAGCCATGGTAAGATCAGCCTCTCAGAGAAGTGGCTGCTTATCAGCGATACATTTAAATTCAGAAGCAGCTTTTTACAAAAAAAATAATAATATTATTTTCAGCCCTTGGATGAAATCGAGTTGGTGGTGGGAACAGAATTATATATTCTGGAATTAACAGTGTAATTTTTTTTAAAAAAAATAGGCAAATATTGCAGGATTTTTTTTTATTTGATGAATAAAATGAAGTATACATCCAAGTGGGCCCTAAGAATGAGTAAGAAGAGCTTGAGATCCTCTTACTGAATTTTGGGTTCCTTCTCAGAATTTAACTTGGCAAAGACAAAACGCAAATTCTTTTGGTTCTGCTGGGGCTCCTTCCCAGTTAAAATGCAGTTGAAATACAGTATCTGGTAGAGTAGCTTCCTACTTAAACCAAATGCATTTCAGTGTGTAAAATGTTCACCTTTGTCTTGCCTCCGGATCGGGAGGAAAAACAGCCCTGGTTCTTCTAGTCCAGGGGTCTTCAAACTTGGCCCTTTTATGACTTGTGGACTTCAACTCCCAGAATTCCTCAGCCAGGCTTGGGAGTTGAAGTCCACAAGTCATAAAAGGGCCAAGTTTGAACACCCCTATTCTAGTCGGTTAACTTTGACACAAGTGGGAATTAGATTCTATTCTCGCCTGTGTTCTAAGTGAACAAGAATAATTTAACTGAAATATCTGTGACCTTCTGCAACTATATAACTTATACCATGCTGTATGTTTTCAGATGCCTCTAAAGACGCTGTGGATGGGTTCCAGTGTAAAACTATTGGACTTTGAAGAAGAGGAAGTGCTACCAGATTTTACTGGTACTTATGAGAAACCCTTAGCACTCTGATCAAGAGTTATCTTAATAGTGGCAGTGTCTAAATAACAATAGATGGTCTGTGAAACAAAACTGAACACATTTTGACTTCCTCTGTTGCAAATCCTCTTTTTTTCTTGTTGGAATCAGACTGCTCAAGCGTATTCTTCTTTCTAGGAACATTAAAGCCCTTGTCTTTGATCTGTAGAAAAATGTGGCATGAAAAGAATTGCTCTCTGGTTGATACCTACAAAGAAAAGTGAGGAATATTCTTTCGGTTGCCCTCTGTGACAATGTATAGGAAATTGAGACTAGACTAGACTAGACTAGACTAGACTAGACTAGAATAGAATAGAATAGAATAGAATAGAATAGAATAGAATTCAAAATAGAGTAGAATAGAATAGAATATAGAATAGAATTTAGAATAGAATAGAATTCAGAATAGAGTAGAATAGAATGGAATAGAATAGAATAGAGGAATGAAGAATAGAATATAGAATAGAATAGAATAGAATAGAATTCTTTATTGGCTAAGTGTGGTTGGACACACAAGGAATTTGTTTTCGGTGCATAAGCTCTCAGTGTACATACAAGTAATAGTTGTAATTATATGTTCGATCGTTCGTTTTATTTAAGCTAATCAGCCTTCCCCTCGAAGAGTTAACCCAAATATGATTTTCGTAACACTTTGGAACTTGGATTTTACTGTTGCAGAGGCAAGAATGGCCTAACTGTTTATATGTTCTACAGATAAAATTGTAGCCGAGAAAGAGGCAATTCCAGGGTTGGTGTTGTACCACAAACAATTAAAGATCCTGGTGATCCGGTGCAAGGTAAGCTTTTGTGTGTACGTGTGATGTTCTTAGTCCTTTTAAAGGCAAATGGGCTCTCAAAATGTGTGCCGTTTCCATTTCATTGGAGAGACGAGGAAAGAGAATGCCAGTCAAATGCAGCCTGTGTCGCATTTATTTGGTTGCACTGTCCCTCCTCGCAACTGAGAGTAACAAACTGTTAGTACTGAAATCTTATCAACTCAGTCCCCTGGTCTCCTCTGAAGAGTGTCCATAGGTTTTCTAAGTTGCCCTTTACAAATCAAAAATGTGTTTTTTAAATTGGAATCTAACAATGCCAGGATGCTGGATCCCATATTAGACTCCACCTAAGCTTCTTGCAATGGAATCACTCCTGATGGGTTTGCAGATTTTGCTCAGCTTTTTGTATGTGTGGGTGCATTCTCTCCCCTCTTTTCCCTTTCTAGGAAGGTTGGGTTGGAGTCAAAACTATTATACATAAAAAGAAATTGACAGCAACCGACTTCTACAATGGCTACTTACATTCTTGGCCACAGAACAATTCTCAAACGGCTCTCAAGAATTGCCGGTTTCAAACACTCAAGCTGACCCCAGTGAAAAAGAAGTTAAAAGGTTCATTGAGTATGCAGAATAATTCTGATACAATTTTCAGTAATGTGTGAAAGTACCAACTCTGTATGAAGAGGCAAATTGGAAACGTGTGAAATTTGCCCTAGAATTGACTGACAGGAAACATGGAAGAAAATAAATAATGGCAAAGACAATGCTATGCAGATGATATTGTGGAGTGGATAACACAAAGGACTAGTAACCTGAACAGTGTGTTTATCTATTTAAAGCTTCAAAACACTCTCAGCCTTGCAAGTCTGGTTTTTTTCAGGAACTGGATCCATCTTTTTCCAACTTAAAATACAGCTGAGCAGGATTCACTAAGTTAAGGACACTTGTTGTATTCTTGAAGAATAAATGGTTTTTGTACATGTTTGCGTAGGCGTGTCACGCAAATCGTTGCAATGGCTGATATTTTAGAATGCCGACTTGTGTAATATAATGTAGAAATCTGTTCCTAATGCCCTTCAGAATCCAGAATCTCCAAGATGAGAATCCAAGAACTCTTGGTAAGTAAACTTCATTGAAGAAAAGCTAAGAATTGTAGCCAGTGGGGATAGACAAGAGTAGGCACACACGGCTGTACACAGAAGTATTAATTCAGTCCTCACCAACATCTCCTTTTGCAACTTTTTCCTGCCCTATCTAATGGGCTGCCCTTAGTTGCAACGGTTTTTGCAAGGGACAGAGTTGCTACTATGTTGTTTTTCACTTATACCCACAGTCCCTGTTGCAATGAAACACACACACAAACACATACCCATCCAGTGAAAAAGGCAAACTCCTGAACGAGTGGTACCGTGCCTTCAATAACCGTCCTATAATTAGATCTCATTTTCCACCCTCCGGTAATGGCAGTGATGAGATTCAGCCAGTTTGCACCAGCAATATTTTTAAGTATCATATTCTAAAACTGGTGCTGTTTCAGATCAGCAAATTTTAACTCAGAAGGCATTTACTGGTGGCTTGGGCTGAAGTAGAGGGAGCCATTCCTATTGGCAGATACGTAGCCAGGTGAAAGCATTTGCAAAACATTTAAAAAAATAAAGCACGTAAATTTATCGTCTTTAATTTTATTGCTGAATTCAAGAATTTCTTTCAGGCAGTAAGTCATCAATGCTGCGCCTTTCAACTTGTTAAGCCAAAGCCAAAGAAATAGCATTGTGGTTTAACATACTGTGCAAACCCAACCAATGGTGGTTTATTCAATATAAAACAAGTTTAGCATCCCGTTGAGGAGAATCCAGCCCTAGAGGTGCTGTGATTCCCCAGAAATGGCTTTTAATACCCCAAATGCAAATGACTCAATTTTATACAGGTATTATTAGCTACCAGCTGCCTATTTTTTTTAAAGAAACGTATAATTTGAATGCCTCTAGTCTGGTACAGCTAATCCTCAAGACAGCTGCGGCCAGAATTTCTACTGCTAAGTAAAGCAGTTGTTAAGTGTACACATCCGATTTTAGGACTTTTTTGCCATGCTTATTCAATTCACTGCAGTTGCTTAGTGAATCACATGATCAATAAGTGCGTCCAGCCTCCCCCCCCCCTTTGATTTTGTTGTTGGAATCCAGTGGCAGGGTCGCAAATGGCGATCATGTGATTCCCGGGTGCTACAATCGTAAATACATGTCGGTTGCCAAGCGCTTGAATTTTACTCACACGATTGAGGATGCTGCTACAGTCGTAAGTGCAAGGACTTGTCAGGACCGTTGTAACTTTGGCCGCTAAATGAATGGTTGTAAGTTAAAGACTCCCCGTCTCTTCCTGGTATGAGGGAACAACTTCCATGCTACTTGGGAATTAATATGATGGAAGTCAACACACCTGGATGGTGCCAGAAGGGGAAACCTAGTCTGATTCATCATTGGCTCTTTGAAGATGCTTCTTGCATGTCTCTGAGGACCCCTGAAGGCCAATGAAATACCGTGAAGGACATGCAAAACCTTCCCATATCCATCAATATTGGCAAGGATTATCTGCTTTTTTTCTTTCTTTCTTTCTTTTACTTGCTTGTTTTTTTTCTTTTCTTTGTATATATTTCTTATTGCATGTGCAAAACCGTTTAATAAAAACTCTTCTTAAAAACTAGTGGGAAGGATGTGTGTTGTCATACGGGCTCGTCTCTAGTTCATGAATTAACAGGTGGGCCTGGGCTTCTCACATGCTGCTCTTCAGGAGCAAGGGGTACCAAAGCTTACTGGACTTTTTGTGTGACTCTAACCAGAGGAATTTCACTTCGTCTTCTTACTCCAGTTCTCTCTCTAGAAGGGCTTGCTGGAAACCTGCTGGGCACGTTCCGTAGAGACTGGAACACATTTTCTCGAGTGTCTTTTTCGTGACAATTGAACGTTAATGCTATGCCCACGTTGCTCTTCATAATTCTTGAAGAGCTATCAGATGTCCCATCAAAACATCGTCCCAGAGCTATTTCTTTGGCTGTCCGAGGATCTTGATCAGTCACGGTATAGATCCCATAGTTGTGACCAAGCGGATCGAGAGGAGCCAACATAGTATATTGGCTGGAGTCATTATTCACTGCAACTGGGAGGTGGTTTACCAGATATTCATGCAACATGTTGTTCACATTTTCCCTGTAACAGCTGCCCTGGGGGATGATCTTCACCAGCGTCCGATCAACACGTTCTTGGTCATACAGCATGCCACTGCACTTGAATTCTAGACACGCCGTTGAAAGGTTAGGATGGTCCAGAGCACGGATGCTCCTCACATCTCTGATGCCATACAACTGGCCGACAGTCCATGGATGGGTGCCCCCTGTGTTGCGAGATCTCACAATCACTTCAAGGGGCCCGTTGATCCTCACTTTAATATAACACGCCCTGAATTCCATTGGCTTGGGCCACCAAGCCAAGTAATCTTCTGTCCAGTTCACAGGATCATTTTCATTAAAAGGAATGGTGTTGTAGTCATATTTGTCTCCTTCCACTCTGTAAAACCTGAAGTGAGCTGCAGTGGGGAGAGCAACTTCACATTCGTATAGCTTTTCATATGGATATATGGGGCCGTTACCCTCTTCAGCGATGTTGGGAGTAGGCTTGGCCACGCTGATCCTGAATGCCGTTTTTTTCACGTTGGGATCCAGATGATCTGTTCTCCTGTACTTGAGCTTGTTGAGGTACGGTTGTGGCACTCCCACAGCGAAAGGGTTAAGCCGGGGAGAGGAGGCAACCGCTTCAAGTTCTTCTGCCCCGAGACTAGCCATGACGTAGGCACTATAGGCCTCTGGATTTTGGTCATCACAGAAAGCTGGGACACAAACGCCACTAGAGCCAGTGACGGCACTGTCAAAGCGTCCCCAAGCTCTAGGGTTGGTAGAATATCCTGGGGTTGGTTCTAAGTTGATAACAGAAACAACCACACCGGCAACCTGTTCACTGGGCAGGTATCTCTCGCTTCGGTAAGCACGCACCTTGATGTAGCACCGTCTGTTTTCAGGAACATCCAAGTTGAAAAGCCTCCTTTCTCGTATCTCCATGTTGCCCACCAGAAATGTCCTCTCCTCTCTCTTTCCACGCCTGCTGTGGTCCAGTTCAAAATCCCCTTCTTCCTCCCACAAACCTGTTTGCGGATTCAGAGACCAAAGTTTCATCCCTTGCAGATGTTCCGGCATCTGGATCTGAGCAGAGTCCAGGTGGATCTTCACTTGGCCCGCATTGAGTGGCTCTGTGGCCGTTTCGTCCGTGAAGTCCATAGAAAACATGCCGTACGTCCGCAGAGGAAGCATGTCCCCTTCAGCATCTACAAAATTCAAGTCAGACTGTGCCGTGGCTGCACTGGAGACATTTCTGGGGTCCAGGAAAGTCACGCTGGCTTTCACTTTCCCGGCGTAGAGTTCTCCGTTCAGTCTGTAAAACGTATTGGGAGGGATTTCAAGTTCAGCTACTGGATCTTCTCCCTCCATTTCTCCCAAGGAAATCATATTGGTCTCCGTGGATTCTAGTGTGACCGGTGGTTTTTTCCTTAACATCCTGATCTCGTGGAAAACCGCCCCGCCATTTTTGTTGAACGGCAACACTTTGGTTGTGTTTACAAACTTCTGCAGGCGGTCCACAAAGGTGAGGACCAGTCTCTCGGTGTTTGGGGGCACTTGCACAGAAAAGGTGCCCTTATAGCCCGTCATGCTGATCCTGTTGTTCCCCATATAGATATGACCAAACCGCAGGGGCTCTCCCGTATCAGAAGCCACAGCTCTTCCTCGCACAGTGACCTTGACCTCGGTGCACTTCTGGCAGCCACACTCCACGGTCACCTTGACGGGAAGTGTGTAGCCGGCACAGGGGATTTCTCGCGTTTCCATCTTGGAGACCCCACAACAGTAAGCAATAGTGTCCTTGCACCAGAAAGCCTCGCGTAACATCCCGGAGCATGTAGTGGGTGAACATCTTCCAACGTCGTAATAGAAAGAAGGACTGGTTGAGTTCTGAACGCAATCGTGGGGCAGTCGGATAAGATAACTCTCAGGCCTGGAGTCGCAGGCTGCTTCGTTCTTTGCTGTTAAAACCAATTCCATATGTTACTATCAAGTTGTGGCCATTCCACTGGTAGAGTTGTCTTAAAGCAGGGACAGGCCACCTTTTGATTGGTGGTATGTAACTTTTTACAAAGATCACATTACGGAACAGGAGGAACCTGCAAGTGGGCAACTTCATGCACTGAGGTGAGACCAGGACTTTCTGATTTTTCTAGAGGGAGTAATGGGCATCTTGATTTTTTTACCCCACTCAAAAAAAATGCTAAGCTATTTTTTTCCCCAATTTATGCACGTGCATGTGTGCATGCTGACCTACCTTCACAGCCCTATTGGTCCAGCCCTCCACAACAGTCCCGGTTTCCCATGCGGCCCCTTGGAAGAATTGATTGCCCGCCCCTGACCTATTTCTTGGTCCATCTGAGGTCATCCCCCAAACAGCTCACCTATGAGAGAAAGCCTTGTGCTTTGAGACTTGACCGAACCGGCTTCATTGCTGGTCTTACAAAAATACCGTCCGGCTTGGTTCATCTTCAGATTCTTCAAAATCAAGTTGCTTTTATATTTATAGAGGGCAGGGTCCAGCAGCGTATCGTTGTGGAACCTATAAGAAACATCAGAGGGACAACTCAGAAACAAAACTCTCTTGTTTCTAGGTGTCTAGAGCAGAGCAGTTGTAGAATTATTTTCCATTATTCCAACCTGGAATAATCCATTTAGCAACCATTCCAAGTTACAAGAGCACTGAAAAACAGTGACCAACAATCCGTCCTTGCGCTTAACCACCATGGCAGCACTCCCTGCAGTCATGCGATTTCCTCCTGCAACCCCATTTTATTTTCTTACCACAAATATCTGCCAGGGGGTGGATTTCCAGTGGCATGACAACAGAACGACACACTCTGACCTTCTCTTCTCGCCTTGTTTTCTGGGTGCGTCGTCACGTATGGTTTTTCTGAAAGAGAAAAGCATTTGAACCCTCACCAGTTGGAATGGCCAAGTTTGGCTGACCTCCATATTTCCTTCTTATCCGGAAGAGCCTCTGAGATGGACATATGGCACTATTGCCAATCTCAACCCCTTACAGAATTACAGATTTCAGTGCCTAGAACTGCCCACCAGCGTGATCTTTGCTGAGAATTAGGGAGCTGAAGTCCACATATCGACGTGGGATCCAGGTTGGGGAAGGTTGACGCGATTCAATTGGCAGATGAATCTTGCTTCATATAAAGGCAGCAAACATATCTAAAAGTCCTTCCTCCTCTTTTTTTTTTTTCTCAACAAAGTCAACAACCTTGTGAGATGGGTTGGGCTGAGACAAAGAGATTTTGACAGATCTCTCTGCTGTTAGAGCATAGAACATAGATTAATTAAGAATAACAGAATAATGAAGTTGGAAGGAACCTTGGAGATCTTCTAATTCAATCATCTGCTCAAGCAGGTGACCCTATATTATTCTGGACAATTGACCATTCAGTCTCTTCTTGAAAACCTCCAGTGATGGAGCATCCATAACTTCTGGAGGTGGGCCGTTCCAGTGATTAATTGATCTCACTGTCAAGAAATTTCTCCTTAGTTCTAGGTCAAAGCTCTCTTTAATGAACTTCCACCCGTTACTTCTTGTCCTGACCTCTTGTGCTTTGGAAAATAAAATAAAATCTCCTCTGTGACAGCCACTCAAGTATTGGAAGACTGCTATCATATCACCCCTAGTCCCTCTCTTCTGCATAATCATGACACATGAGTATGCACTGTGGGGGCAATCTTGATTACACATGTTCTGTAGAAGATGTGGTGGTCATGCACGATGGTTAGAGCTAAGGTGGCGCAGTGGTTAGAATGCAGTACTGCAGGCTACTTTTGCTGACTGCCGGCTGCCAGCAGTTTGGCCGTTCGATTCTCACCGGCTCAAGGTTGACTCAGCCTTCCATCCTTCTGAGGCCGGTAAAATGAGGACCCAGATTGTTGGGGGAGGGCATATGCTGACTCTGTAAACCACTTAGAGAGGGCTGTAAAGCACTGTGAAGCGGTATATAAGTCTAAGTGCTATTGCTATTACAATCCTGTGGAACCCCAGGACTCATGAAATCTCTTCTGCCACTGAATTGGGACCCAACGATTCCTTACCTGCTCTTTTCAAGTAGATATGAACGGCCGAGTAATTTTCAGCGCTCTCTGACAAAGTGATCACATCTGTCGTGTACTTGGGTTTTTTAATTTGCAGCGTGGTTTTTCCATCAGGGCACAGGCCAGGAACTTCAAATGCCCCGTTGTGGTCTGACTCTGTTAAGAACTTTGATGGCTTCGCTTGCAGATAGAGGCGGGCTCCAACTGCCGGGGCACCATCTTGAAGGGAAACGGTGCCACGGAGTAAATGCTCTTGGCAGAAACATGCACTGCAGTCGGCATTCTCCCAACCCCTGGAGCAAGTCATGTTGCAAACTGAAATGTGGAAGAAAAGCATGAGTTACTCCAGATTATTATATATACATATATTTGTCTCTTTCTCTCTAAAATCAAGCAGACGAGGAGGAAGAGCAAACAAACCAGTCATTTTTCACCAGTGAATCTTCTAGAAGGGGTTTTTTTTTCTAAACCTCACAAAAATTCGCAAAAGGTCTCAGCAACTCTGCAAGTATAATCAGTGCTGAGCTAGAAGGGAGATGACATTCAGAAATATCTAGAGAGCCACAGGTTCTCTATCTTCGGATGAATTGTTTAGCTTAGTGCAGGGGTCTCCAACCTTGGCCCCTGGCTGAGGAATTCTGGGAGTTGAAGTCCACACGTGGTAAAGGGGCCAAGGTTGGAGACACCTGGCTTAGTGTTTCTCAGCCACTTTTAAGATATGCAGACCTTTAGATGCCCTGGCTCCACACATCTTGCTAAACTCAATTTCACAGTCACCAAGTTCTTAGAAAATACCTGTGCAAGGGGGTCCCAGACAACCCCTCTCTTCCTCGCTGATGGCCTTGCAGCGTGGATCCATGAAAGTATCTGCAAGGCACGTCCTTCTCCGACTCTGCACCCCAGCTTGGTCACATTTTCCAGAACAGGGGCTCCATGTTGACCACGAAGACCAAACTGATTTGGAATGGCCAGCCAAAGAGCCTGGGAAGGAGACACAAGCCAGCAGCTCTCTTAAGAGGTTGAGCAAAATGAGTCGGAGAAGACTTGAAAAGGAAGTGCTAGAACTAAATGACCTTCTTCTTGTGGAGTGAAGAATCTGGTGATTAAGTAAATGTTTCATTACCCAGCTAGGTAACGTCATCAGTGCTAGAAGGCAAACCCCACTGTCTTCTAGCACTGATGATGTTACCTAGTTGGATCATGAAACGTCTGCAAGAAAGCAACCAAGCTCAAGAAGAGCACCAAGGCCTCCACTAGGATCTTCCTCCTAAAATGCTGCTCCCCCATTGTCCTCCCATAGATCCCTTGCATCAACATCCCATAGTATTGCCTTTCTTATTACTTGCACCCCCTCCTGAAAAATATTCTATTCTATTCTATTCTATTCTATTCTATTCTATTCTATTCTATTCTATTCTATTCTATTCTATTCTATTCTATTCTATTCTATTCTATTCTATTCTATTATTCTATTCTATTCTATTCTATTCTATTCTATTCTATTCTTACCTGGAGGACAGAGAAAACGCACGGCATAATTGAAGCATGTTTGCCCCAGGGGCTGCTCCTTATTCAGGCACCAGAACCCTTCATGGACACTGGAGTGGACCACCTGGCCCGAACTGGCCGCGGGGACCCAGTCGGTGGTCCGGGCTTCAAGCCGGATGGGTCTTGGACACACCCTGCTTCGGTAATAGAAGTGAATGGCATCCAGGCGCTCGTAATCCCCGTTCCCTCCGGGATGATCAATGTTGAACCAGCTGGTCCACATTTCTCGGTCTGAAGAAGGGAGAAAGATGAGCTGCAAATTGTACGGCCACAGAAAGGGGAATGGTCACCTTTATCAAGTAGACCAGACAGGAAACACGGCCATAGTACAGGCAGTCCTTGACTTGCAATCGTTTGTTTAGTGACTGTTCGAAATTAGAGTGGCACTGGAAAAAGGTTCCCCATTTCCATTAAAACATACAAAGAACGGCTGCGGGACTTGAGTTTGGCTAGTCTAAAGAAAAGAAGAAATAGCCATGTTCCAATATTTTGAGAGGCTGCCACAAAGAAGAGGGGGTCCCGTTATTGACCTCGATTGTGGTTGTAAGTCAAGGATTACCTTTAGCTAACTTTACTTTATTGTAATGTTACATTAATAGAACCTTGCAAGCATGCAGTTCTCCCACCATCTCCTTTACAGTCGAAGAAACGAGGGAAGGTCCCTTATGAGCTTCTTGTCCCACCTACTATCCAATTTCCTGGAATTTCTGTTTTTGCCACACTGATTTCAAGCACTAAAGGTAGCGGAGAAAGAATCATAAGATAAGATAACCTTTATTGTCATTTTTTACTATTGAGCACACTGGCCCATGTCAAAAATGAAATTCTATATATATACATCCCATACATATATATACGTATAAATATTAATCATTTTGAATACATAACGGAAAGAGGAAACTTGAGAGTTCACGAGGTTCATGTTATATGGAACAAAACTGTCATTGAATCTGGATGTTCTGCTTCAGATACCACGGAGCCCCCTCCTCCCAGAAAGTAACAAGGAAAACAGGTCGTGAAGAGGATGTGTAGCATCCCAGACAATCTTGTGGACCTTGCTGAAGCATCGCTTATACGCCATGTCCTGGAGAGAAGGGAGTGAACTGCTAATAACCTTTTCTGCTGTCCTCACCACTCTCTGCACCACCTTCCTGTCTGAAGCAGTGATGCTTCCAAACCAGACTGAGATGCTGTATGACAGGATGCCCTCTATAGAAAGTGGTAAGGACAGGGGAAGGAAGATGTGCTTTTCTCATGCGACACAGAAAATGCAGGCGCTGCTGTGTCTGCTTCACCAGTGTCTCGCTGTTGAGTATCTACATATTGATGTAGGATGGAGTCAGGAGGAACCCTCTTCTGTCCACAGAATTTGTGGTTGGGAGACCCTGTGTATTTCACTCAAGATGGGGATAAAGGCTGCACATAGCTTTGAAAGATATCTTTTATTTCAAACATTTCGCGTTTGTGGCAATTTATCTAACATTAATCTTCAGAGTAAGCTGCTTGATAAACACTTAGCAAAGCTGAGAGTCCCCCTTGGAATTCACGATGTCAGGCAATGTCTGCCTTATAAACTTGGACAAAGATATTGACAACCAGTGTACACTTAAAAGTTTTAACTTTTAGCAGAAGGAGACAATCTGCTACTCGGGGTGCTAGCCAGAATAAATTAGGCTGTAGCTAGGATTAATCTGTTTTCCATTATCGAGGAGTATAGGGGCAGACTGACAGGATCTTTCATCAATTAAGCCATTTTAATTTGTTTTTAAAAAGACATAATAGCAAGCATATGGCATCTTAATTCTTTCTTAAAACAGAACTGCCTGGAGTGGGAAATGACTTACTGTCTGAATTGTGTTTGGTCAAAAGGCTGTAGGGTTTTCGTCCAGCGGAGATCCAGCTAACTGATTGTTTTAAAATCCGTTCACCTTAGGGAGGGGAAAGACAGAAACCAAAAAAATAAAAATGCTGAAAAAGTGAAAAAAAAGAGAGAGAATAGACTGTTTAAAATCTGGCTTTCCCCCAAAATGCTGGGGCCAAAAAATTAGGGTGAACCCAACACGTAGGCTAAATGCGATACGTCATTTGTTGTCCATCTTGGCACACTGAATATTGTTTAATCAGTGTCGTTGTTTTTAGAGTTGGTTTAATTTTGGTTTTATTTTGGCTTTCTGTGTTACTTTTTTTAAAAAAAACTAACTCAGTACTATTCTGAGTTGTAAAAATGAGATGGGGGCGGGGGAAAATATAAATTGTTTAAATAAACAAACTAGACTTGTTAACAAAAATACATCAGATCCACTGCAGTTGTTCCTAAAAACAGTCAGAAACGTCTCTCGTGCCAGAGTACTGTCGAAATACTAAATAAGGTTTTTAAACAAGAGAGGAACAATAAACATATGGATTTTAAAAAATGGGATTATTCAAATTAATCTGAAGCAAGGGATTTCTAGATTTTTGAGGGAGCGAAGGGAAGAGGAAAGGGTGGGCAGGGTGGGGGCAGGTGGGGTGGGTTTTGGGCACTCGGTCTCTAAAAGGTTCGCCATCACTGCCCTATACCATTTCAGACAAATGGCTGTCCAGTCTCTTCTTAAAAACCTCCAGTGTTGGAGCATTCACAGCTTCTGGAGGCAGGTGGTTCCACTGGTTAATTGTTCTAAGTGTCAGGAAATTTCTCCTTAGTTCTAGGTTGGCTGGCTCCGTGACACGTGATCACGTGTGTAGCAACCCTGCCATTTTGAGCATCTGAGGAAGGTCAGCCATGCTCACCAGAAATGCAGGCAACTGCAAGGAGAAGGAAGGAAGGCAGAAGCTGCCTCTGTAGTTCAATCATCCTTTAAACTCCAGAACAGGATTCTCAGACGCTAATTTCCAAGCCGATCAGATGTATCTTGATCATCAAGCACTCTGGTTTTAAAGTCTCCTTGGGCTTCCAAAGGGAAGGACAATCTGGGAAGGAGAAAACAAGACACATTTACATCAGTATGGACTTGGTCTGAAAGGATTTTGTTCCAGTTTTCCTCTAACTACTCTCTCGGGAGTAGGCAATTGAACAATGAGCTCATGACCAGGGAATCTTCTCCCTCAGCATCTAGCTGGACATGGTACCAACTCTAATGTTAGAAAATGAGTTGTTCAGCCCTGGTCTAACTTATGGGAACGAGGGGAAACTCGTTCCCAAACTCCTGACATTAACTGCGCAAGGATAAGTACAGAATAGAATTAAATTGCCTTCACGAGAGGAACAAATTAGAAACAATTCTTTCATCCCGGTTAGCTTCCTCGTAAGTTTCCCATTCAAGATACGGTAAAATAAAAAAAATAAAAATAAAATAATCCCCGTGTTTGAATCTGCTCTGAGATGCCTTCAAACTGCTTCCCATCTAAAAAAAAATATATCCTGCAGTCCTAACCTTCTGCCCAGGCTGATAAAGCACCATGCAAAGGGTCATACCTTGCTCTGTGTTACATGGAGAAATATGTCTGCACCTCCCTAAACACTTTCCTTAAATAGACACTCAGTTAACAATAATGTTACCCTCTGCCTTTGTTTGCAAAATAAAAAAAATAATAATAATGTTACACTACAGCGTTATCTACTGCAGGTAACACTGGAAATCGTTCGCCTGCTTGGCTGCGAATTGTGTCGTTCCGTTCGGTTGAAATCTAGGAATTCTAAATTGTAGAAAGTGTTTAAGCTTACCCGCTTTTCCAGCCTTTTCCGAAGTCCTGTTCAAGGCATCTGTTTTCAGCATTTCCTAAAGGCGGAGGAGGGTCCCTTTTATAGCTCTGCTTGGATTTCAGGGGGGTGGCCCTGAGCCATCCAGATGGAAAACCTGCTCTGAACACGAGGAAACCAGAGCCTGTATAAATGCCTGCAAGGGAGAGAGTGGGTATAGTTCTCACGGTGGGAAGCCCATCTTTAGGAAGAATGCTGACCACCAAATTGGAAAGATTGTAAAATATTTATTTGATGTCAAGTTCTGGAAAAAAGAAACCAATCTCCATGTTGGAGGAATTGCTTGGAAGGGAGGGGTCCTTGGTGCTCTCTTGAGTTGGATTGTTTTCTTGCAGACGTTTCATTACCCAACTAGGTAACATCATCAGTGCTAGAAGGAAGGGGAATATGCAGAGAGGAGGAGATGGGGGGGTGGAGGAGGAAGGTGGGGAGGAGGAAAAGGACTGTGGGGGTCCCTGGTGCTCTCTGAGCTTGGTGGTTTTCTTGCAGACGTTTCATGACCCAAACTAGATAACATCATCAGTGCTAGTAGGGAGTGGGCTTTGCTCAGAGCAAACATTAATGATGATGCGAGAAAACCACCAAGCTCAGAGAGCACCAAGGACCCCACAGTCCTCCCCCCTCCCATTCTTCTCCTCTTTGCAAAGCCCACTCCCTACTAACACTGATGATGTTACCTTGCTTGGCAATGAAACGTCTGCAAGAAAACCACCAAGCTCAGAGAGTGCCAAGTGTACCCCAGTTCAACCCTGAGCTACAAATATTCTCCTTTATCACTTGGAAGTGTTCCAAAATTGGGGGCAGCATCATTGGGGGCAGCAACTATGATGATTAAAGGCCTGGAGACTAAAACATATGAAGAACAGTTGCAAGATTTGGGTTTGGCTAGTCTAGAGAAAAGAAGGACTGGGGGGGACATGACAGCAATGTTCCAATATTTGAGGGGCTGCCACAAAGAAGAGGGAGTCAACCTATTTTCCAAAGCACCTGAGGGCAGGACAAGAAACAATGGATGGAAAGTACTCAAGGAGAGAAGCAGCCTAAAACATAGGAGATGTTTCCTAATAGGGAGAACAATTAATCAGTGGAACAGCTTGTCTTCAGAAATTTTGGGTGCTCCAACACTGGAGGGTTTTAAGAAAAGACTGGACAGCTACCTGTTTGAAATCGTATAAGATCTCCTACTTGAGTAGGAATCCCTATACCATCTCAGACAGGTGATTGTTTAGTCTCTTCTTAAAAACCTCCAGTGATAGAGCACCCACAATTTCTGGAGGCGAGCTGTTCCACTGGTTGATTGTCCTCACTGTCAGGAAGTTTCTCCTCAATTCCAGGTTGCTTCTCTCCTTGATCAGTTTCCAACCATTGTTTCTCGTCCTTCCCTCCGGTGCTCTGGTGAACAACCTGGCCCCCTCTCCCTTGGGGCAGCCCCTCAGATACTGGAACGCTGCTATTCCTAAGAACATCTCCCCATCTCTACTCAA